GCCATGTTGGCTGGGGAATTCTGGGAGTTGAAGTCCACTCATCTTAAAGTGGCCAAGTTTGGACAACACTGGCCTAATGGTTAAAGCTCTTCTGATGGATTATGTGCCATCAAGTCATTTTCAACTCCTACTGACCACGTAGACAGATGTTCTCCAAGACAATCGATCCCTAACCTGTTCTTTCAGGTCTCCCAATGGTTCACTCCTTGCCACTGTAACTGGGTCTGTCCACCTTGCTGCTGGCCATCCTCCTCTTCTCTTTCCTTCCACCTTTCTCAGCATTAGAGCCTTCTCAAGAGAGCAGGGTCATCGCATGTGTCTGAAGTAGGATAATTTAATCCTGGTTAAGCCTTGAATGAGAACTCTAGGTTGATCTGTTTGATGATCCATCGGTTTGTTTTCTTGGCGGTTCACAGTATTCTCAGGAGTCTTCTCCAACACCAAAGTTCAAAAGCATCAATAGTATTCCTATTCTATTTCTTCAAAGTCCAACTTTCGCTTCCATAGAGTGTCACAGGAAATACCATCGCTTGCATGATTCTGATCTTTGTAGGTATGGACACATCACCTCCTTTGAGTATCTTTTCCAAGGCCTTCATAGTTGCTCTACCAAATGCTAGCCTGAGGCATATTTCTGGAGTATTTGTTCCTTTACTATTGATGGCTGATCCTAAAAGGTGGAAGCTATACCCCACTTTGAAGGTATCAAACCTTTGAAGATAAGCCTCTCTACTGCTTCTTAAATGATCCCCAACAATCCAGAATCAACAAGGGAGCATTTGCTTAAGTGGCAACCGCTCTGAGACTAAAACCAAGCTCTGCTTCTCTCACTGTGTTTGAGGTTGCAAATTACACTAAGACACATAGTTTGTTTAATCAAGGTCCACTGAATTCACCCCAACATGGTGGGTTCATCACACAACATGTCATGCTAAAATTAAACAAACTACATGTGACTCAGGGTGATGTGTGAATGCAGCCTGTAAGCATGCTAGGGAAGAAAATATATCCCCTAACTGCCCATTCTCACTGCAGCAAGAAAAAGAGGATCATCATATTTCTCCCCCTTAAAACCAGTCCCACACAATAGGAACCCAGTTAGATCTCTTTCAAAGGCTCTTTAAAAACACATTACATCCTTTGGCTCAGCTCTAGCAGAAACATTTATAGAAGCTTCAGGATACACAGTGGTCTTGGGTGTAATCTTCATTTTTTTAAATGGTTACTCTTCTGGTATACACCAATTACTGTATACATATACAAACGAGGTTTGCATTCAGCACAGGAAACATGGCAGAACTATTAAATAAAAGGTCTGCAGGCCACCACACGTCCTTCTGTTATTGAAAACAAATCCCCACAATCATTTTCTGAAAAGTACAATTTGCCATAATGGAGAATATATGAAGCTCAGGATTCAATTGCTGGGTTCTTGGTATTCTGGGAGTAAAATTTGTGGAGGGGGAACAGAGCAAGAAAAAAATACTCATCCAGATAGTCAGCAATATACCCACTACAATAGGTACTTGCATTAACCTCAATGCAGATGTATAATTATAGGATTCTGACAAACACTCACCAATTAATATGAACCAAGCCTCAACCTCACCATCTATGGCTAATCTCGAAGCTCAGCTTGGTGACATGCAAACCAACCTTCTCTGCAGTGGGTGACTCCAGATGGGCTAGACTTGAATTCTCACAATCCCCAACCACAACAAAAGACCTGAAATTCCCACCACTTCTGTTAAGTTGGGCTTCCACGTACCCCAGATGCAATCATGGGCTGAGAAAGGCCTGAGCTTGACTACAAATGTGCAGTTGTTACCCATTTGTTAAAGTCTTTCCAGATGTCAAATCCAGCCCCTGATGCTAAAGCCAGAATTAGTCAATGACACGAGGATTGGGTATCACACCATGACTGTTGGATTGCTGCTAGTGCCAGGAAGAATCAAATCCATTTCGCATGTATTTGACATTTGAACCAGTGCACACAAATTAATCTCAGCATTTCACCAATATACCCCCCCCCAAATCCTTATGGTTTACCCACTCTAGGTGCTTAAACAAGAGTTTCTATTGTAACTGTACATTCATGACCTAATGCCAACTCCATGAAGCATACATTATCACTCACCAGGAAGACACATTATTAGCTTATGGATAGGCATGGCTGAAGATGACAGCATGCACAGGTTGTTGCCCACCTTCCTCTTCACCAAGCCTTTACCCCTTCATACTCAAATACTGCATACATCATATTCAGAGACAGAGAGGTTTGAGAGCTGGGATGGTAATTAATATTTTAGAGGAAAGGGCGCAGATTCAAGAAGATCTAGGGTTGACAGTAGGATGAAATGAACAGGATGTGATTTAACAGACAGAAATGTAACAGTTTACATCTGGGAAGGAAAAATGAAAAGCCTAAGCACAGGGAGACATGGCTTGGCAGGGGTACTTGACAATGGGATCAGGACGTCCTGCTCAAGCACAAGTTAAACATGAGCCAGCAGCTAAAATGGCAAATGGGGTGCATTAACAGAAATATAGAATCTAGATCTTGAGGAAGGGACTGTCCACTCTCCTCTGTCCTGGTCAGACCCCATTTGGACACCACCATCCCAAAATGACAGTGATAAATTGGAGTGATGCAGAGGAAGGCTATCAAGATGGTGAGGGGTCTGGAAATCAAACCCTAGGAAATGGTTAAAGGAACTGAGTACGTTTAGCCTACAGAAAAGATAACTGAGGGAAGATGTGGTGGCAGTCTTCAGATATCTGAAGGGTTGCCAAATAGAAGAGGGAGTGGACTTATTCCCTATTGCCCCCAAGAGCAGGACCAGAACACACAAATTAAAACTTCATAATAGTAAGTTCAAACTAGATGTCAGAAAGAATTTCCTAACTGTACAAGCTGCAGAGGCAGACGTATGGGATGGCAAACTCTTCTTTACTGGAAGTTTTCAGAGACTGGAGAGTTATCTGTCAGAAATGCTCTAGCAGAACCTGCACTAAGCAGGATGTTGGAATAGATGACCTCTGACGTCATCTCTAATTCCATTATTCTGTGTTCTCCACTCTCTGCATCATGAAACCCAATGGTACATTACCTGGGCCTGCCCCAAACTGGAATTCTTCTTGCCTGTCAGGGAAATAAAACTGAATGCTGGATGGGGGTGGGGAGATCAAAGCTACCTATGGTAGGTTGTAGTCAAAACATCCAAAAGCCCCAAACCCTCAAATATTCCTTCTGTCTCCCCAAGAAAGGAGGCCAAGCACTTGAAACAATGCAAGCATTTGTAGAAATATGACCACTTTGTTCCACTGACAAAGTAGGCTCTAGTCTACAAAAATCATGGCATAATAAATCAGGTGTTGCAAGATGCTGTGTTGCTTTTGCTAAAACAGAGGAACCAACAATTCTCTTTCGCTGAGCACAGATCAATATAAAACATTTTCTGTGCTATATTCCCTGTGGTGTCTTCCCCAGCTACACAGAACAGGCTCCCTTCTTCATCCACTGGGGTTTACTCCCAGGGAAAGAAAGGTTCTCTGGGGATTCTAGCCAAAATAGCATTTCTTAAAATATTTCTCAAAATGTCACAGAAGGCATTCTTCTCTCCACCCTTCCTTATCGCCACAAAGTGAACACATTTTGCCTCTGCAGTAAACGTTTGTTTACTTTCCTTTTTCTTTGCTACAGGACCATATAATGTTTTGATAACCAGTTGAGAACAATCTTCAGGAGGCACAAAATGCTTAGGACAGAAGCCAGAGGAAACTGGGAATTTTCCTAATCTGGCAAGAGAAGAAATAAAAAAAGGAGGTTTTAATCAAGCCCACTTGGAAATGCATGGCCATGGGGTCAAGATTCATTTCCAAATCAACATCATTAAATTCCGGGTGCAAATCCACTGTATCCAGTAGATAAGGATAACGTAAATGGTCTCCCTGGCATTTTTTCGACTACCCCAAATTCCAAGTTGCAATAATCAGGAATGCCACCTCTAAGAGAATAAACCCATTTTGATTGAGAAAGAATTTCCCTTCTGTCTCAAAATGCAGCATTACCCATCAGCCACAATAGATACATTGATCTCTAAGATACGGAGCAAATTCTATATATAAACACATTACCTTTCCAAATGATACCAACATTTCAGATTTCAGCCTATCTTATCAGTGACATCTCATGATCCACCGGAATGTGAAGAATTGTGGCAATTATTACATGCACCTACATGAAATTGCAACTTTCTTGCACCCATCAAGTTTTATTATGGCCATAAATGCTGAAGAGATTAGATTCCCAGCATTAGTATAACAAGCAACAACTAAGACTATCAAAGATTTTTTTTCAAATTCCATGAATGGAAACAGATTTTTATAGTGCTGGAAGTCTTGATATTTATGATCGACCAAAAACAACCCCTCACCCCCCAAAACAGCCTTTGAAGATAGCAAGTGAAACTTGCATCAAGGAACATCTACTTTACAATCCCACCAGAATCATCACATCTTTTTTAAATTCCAGAGTAAAGGAAGCAGCATTTTATAACTGAAGTCAACAGCAGGGGGGGGGAAAAAAAGAAGTCCACAGAAGTTCTCTTAAGGTACCTGATTTTTAGTTGCACGGGAGATCATCCAATTTCCTCTCTTTGGAATAAAGAATTAAAAAGGAAAACCAACCAACCCAAAGCTTCAAAATTAAAACCCCCCAACTTTCCAGCAGTGTTTTCAAGACGTTGCTCTGTTCTGTCTCCCGATTCTCAAGACATCCCATCAAAGTTTGCCATAGCAGCTTCTCTTTGGTGGTGAAG